CGGCATCCGAACTTCAATGTTTGGGCTGCTTCGCTGCTGTACATTTGAAGTGCCGCCATCTGAACTTCACTTATTCACGACCCTCGGGATTAAGGTGTTCAAGGTTTGGTGTGGGAGGGGAGGACTAAAGAAGCCCACCGGATTCTGAACCTCCCTGTTTGTCTGCATCTCCCATCTTACGAAGTCCGCAGGCATCCGAACTACAATGACTACCATCTCGTTTGTGGCCTTGGTATACCTGATGCCTCCACTATTTCACAAACCATCCAAGTACGGATCCTCGCACACTCGTTAAGTTCGGATGCAGGCGAACTTCGTGTTTTTGCGTGTTCACAGTTCCGACTATGGTCTTTCTGGCGCCCCGTGCAGTGCAACAAGAGCACAAGTTCGCCCGAAGACACGATTCGCGTTCTTTCGTGACGCGACATTAGACACCTATGTGTCTGAAATCGGATTCAACGACGGTTTTGAGTTGAACGGTTGAACTCCCATTCAACTCTCGTTTCAACTCCCCGTTAAACCGAGTTGAACGTGGTACAACTCGGCCCGCGGATTTTGTTTTTGCAAACAAAACATAGGTGAAAAAAAAATAAAAAATGGGGGTGTAGATTTTTCTGCCCTCTACATCCCCATATTTTTATGCTTATTTGTTTAGCATTAAAATTATTTTTAAAAAAACAAAAACAAAACCAGACTCAAAACATATAGATTTTTTTTCCTTTTTTTATTTATTGAATGATTGATTGATTGATTGATTGATTGGTGGGGGATGGGTCGCCCCCCCAACCCCCACCCAATCACACACACACACACACACACACACACACACACCTACACACACACACATACACACACACACACACACACACACACACTCACTTTCTTTCGCCCAAGTTGCGTGGGCGGGGACCCCGCCCAACTTCGGCGCAAGTGAGTGTGTATGTGTGTGTGTGTGTGTGTGTGTGTGTGTGTGTGTGTGTGTGTGCGTGTGTGTGTGTGTATGTGTGTGTGTGTGATTGGGTG